AGCCTCCAGTTTAAAAGAATGATTCAAATACTTTCTTCTTTCTGTTGAACATCAAGTTACATTTAATATTGGAAAGATTTCTGTGGTGTTTTAATCAAATCTAGACCGGGGATTTTATCATTCACATTAACAGCCGGGGGTTACTTTCACTCATCTCGTTTTGAAACTTGAAGGACGTCAAAATCGGGATTAATCCTCGACTAAAGCAAACGCATATGAGCTGAAACAGAAAATTCACTGAACACATGTGTAGCCTTTTAAACAGCACAACTTTCCAATTGCCACAAGCTGCAGATTCTTATTAAGAACGCATACTTTGAATCACTTTAAGAAAACACACCTTTAACGTATGAAGTATGAAGCTAGCCTCCATTCATGCTAGCTTAACTCTCTCAGACACTCTTCTTCTCTGTGTAGCAGTGACAAACACATCATTCCTGTGTGACTGACTTTGACTCAGCAGCAGCACAGGCCGCTGACCACAATATGATTCACTATTTACAGGAAGTTCCAGGATTACAAAGTCGGGGAAAACTCTGGGATCATTTGATGAGAGCGATGGGAGAAAAGCAGCAATTTGAACAGAAATGACAAAAGGACTTGAATATGATGTCCGTATGAAGTTAAAGTTAATCATAAAAAGTTAGTTGTTTGCTAGCTAGAGTCACAGTGCCTAATTTTGTTGTCACTTCAGAGTTTGTTGTTGTGGTGTTTCACTGAAAAACACACATTTTGGGGTAAAATGGTGTTTTCTGTCTAGACTCTCATAAAGCAGTGTATCCGGGTGTTCTCGGCCTCGGTCAGAGAGAAAAGACGACCTCAGCATCTCTCGCTGCAAAGATGAAGCGTTTTCTGATTCCTTGGGTTTTGGAAACTTGCTAAGCTAATGCTAGGTAACATTAGCACTAGCTTAGTGAGTTTATTATTTAGTAATTATTAATTTGTGTCAAGCAAATAGTTTTCCAAGACCACAAAAGAGAAAAATTCAAACACAAAAAGGACACTTAATAACAATAAGTAATACTAATTTAGTTCAATAATCAAACAAATAATGTATTATTGGGAAATGATGTTAAAATGTCAATACGAATATCGTTCTGTGGCGACGGTTTCTTCATCCTTCTCCTTTTGCCGCTGGTCTCGTTTATTCATATTTATTTAAACTTAAACGTATAAAAGTGGATTTTCCCAAATTTTAGGAAACAAACTTTGTGAACTAAACTCTCTGCTCTGATTGGACGAGCCCACATCACCAGAATGATTGACAGCTGGGAGGACCAATAGTCTTACAATCCTCCTTTTATACCATTTGAACTTTGTACTTTCTGTTGTGACAAACCAAAAAACGTCTCTTTCTTTAGTCTCGCTGTCGTTATTGTAGATGCGACTGTGGATGATTATTATTATTGTGGATGCGACCTGAAAACAAAGCAGCAAAGTTGGGTTTCAGTTGTGTTTGTGTGGACTTGTGGATGTTGCAGATTTAAAGTCTTACCTTGAATCCTTCGGAAAATGTGATCGTCTCCATCGCGGACAGAAAACGTGACTGTTTATCTTCATCATCTGTGGATATATTTAAAAAACAAACTCCATCTGTCGAGCTGTGTCGTGACATGTTGGTTACCGCAGCAACCATGTTTTACTTTTTAGTTTCTTTGATTATTTAACTCACCTTCTTTAAAGAAAAAGCACTTTATTCTGTACCTTGGTGGCCTGCTGTAAATGTTGAACACTATGATACAGCCCTAGGCAGAACAGTCTCTGTGGTGTGACTATCCGTTGCCTTGGAGATGAAAAAGATTAGATTTTTGTTTGGTTTTTATTGTACAATATTTTCTTTTGGTAAAAAAGGGGACGACACCGTGAAGGTTGTGCACACTGTATTCTAGCGTGTTTTCAAACTCTCCAGAAGCATCTTTGGCTTAAAAACTCTTGTCAAGCAACTCAGAATGGCATTTCTTATTGTATAAAAGTTTAGTGCTAAAAGTGTGGACTAGGACTGGACCAAACTGAGCCCTGGAACCTGCCTTTGAGAATCATTCAGGTCAATATATTCCGTTGCAAATTGGGTTGTGCAGTATCATGAAAAGAATATTTTTACAGAAGTAGTTTTGGAGTAAAGTATAAATACCGTACTTCCTGTAGTAAAGTATAAATACCGTACTTCCTGTAGTAAAGTATAAATACCGTACTTCCTGTAGTAAAGTATAAATACCGTACTTCCTGTAGTAAAGTATAAATACCGTACTTCCTGGAGTAAAGTATAAATACCGTACTTCCTGTAGTAAAGTATAAATACCGTACTTCCTGTAGTAAAGTATAAATACCGTACTTCCTGGAGTAAAAGCCGCAGCAGCATTATTTTAAAAGAAAGTCTATTTTGTCCACAGATAGGCCGCACCTGAATATAAGCCTCAGGTGTTCATGTTGTAACAGACTGTTCTAACTGGACCCAACATGATTCAATGACGATGCTAACGTTAGCCTGTTAGCGGTTAGCTTCCATCACAGTGTATCATTTATTTTGACAATAACTCACAAAGTCCAGAAAGTAGAGGCTTATAGTCCAAAACCTCTGGTAGTTTTTCATGAAAGCAAACAAATGATTAGATCGCTCCCCTCTCAGCAAGAAGGTCCAGGGTTCGACTCCCAGGCAGCACACTCGAGTTTGCATGTTCTCTCTGTGTCTATACGTGGGTTTCCTCCAGGTGTTTCGGTTTCCCCAACACTAAAAACATGCACAGTCGGCCTCCCTCCCAGGACTCCTTCTGTTGAATATGTTTTGAAAGCTCTGTGGGACTCTCCGGGTTAAATACTGACACATCAACACAGTGCTTCCCAAAGTGCGGTCCTACCTCCAAAGGACACAGTGTTGGGTTCAGGTTTTTAATGTGGTAAATAAACCGAATCTTGTCAAACTATGGATAGAAAGGTGTCTCAACATCAACACTGACTTTAGCAACTCCATCCACGCAATTGTTTAGTGTTTTAGTTTAAATTATTAGTTTGAGCCTGAGAGATGATCAGACGTAACAGTTATTTAAAGAATTGATAAATACAAACATTGTCCAGCTCTCAATAATTATCCACATTTCTCTAAATATCTTATTAATATTTACAGCAAGAAATGATAGTGGCTGGATCACAAATGTTCTTTTCTCGTTAGGAATAAGAAATAAGTTGCTTGGACAGGCTTTCTACAAATCAGATTCAGTTTGGGTAAAGTCAGAAGGATCAGAATCTTGATATTGGACCAGTACTTTCATAAACGTCGTTGGAGAAACCGTTGGAAAGATGACTGTTTGCATTTAGCCTTTTATTCAGACTCAAACCTGTACAATCCTAGTAAAAATAATGGACTGAAACGTGCTACTACTGTGTAAGAGCAAACCAGGACCAGGACTCTTCCAGGTCTAAACCAGGACCAGGACTCTTCCAGGTCTAAACCAGGACCAGGCCTTTCTCAGCTAAAGACATACTGTATATATTGTGATCAACTAAAATAGGAGTAATTTTATAAGTCTTTCACTTAAACAACATTCAATCTGCAGCATCGGTCGAAAGAGTAGGATTCCGAAACTCACAAAATAAGGATTTACAAGAAAAAGTGCAGACTATGAACATTGAGCCCCAAAACACATCGTCCAAACTATGATTTATTGAGCAATGAGTAACTTAAGACGAGCCGAAACCAGGACAAAGACCGAGACCTAGAACTGTTAGGATTAAGCAAACCCCATTCTAGTTTGAGAACCATTGCATCGGTTTCACTGGACAGACTTTGGTGTCTCATCCCCTGTGGTTTTTGTTCAAGCTTTATAACCTTCTGAGAAAATGCTGTAAGAATACTGTGAATTCAACTGCTGAGCGCTAACGGACAGGAACAGATTGGAGCTAGCTTGTGCATCGGGTTGTTTGGAGACCGGAGTGGCCTTTAGTGACCTTTTGCGTTGAAAGCAGCTCTGTTGAAACGGTCCCAGGAGAGGAGGAAGAGGAGGAGGAGGAAGAGGAGGGCTGGGGGTTGGGTGAGCGGAGGTGGAAATGCTGGGAGGAAGAATAATAAGGCCTGTGCTGAATTTCAAAAGTAAAACCAAGATTGCTCGCTTCAGACCAACCGTATGGACTGCTGTTTGGGCCACTGTGGGGGCGGTAGTGGAAGGAAAACGGGGCACATTTTTGCTTAATAACTCGGCAATTATTTCTTCCATCAATAGTTTTTTGTTGAATTTTGTCCGACCATTTCAAACGCATCTGACGCAAAGTCCAGGATTGTGTGCTTTGTGTTTTTGACAAGTTTAGTATTTTTAAGATCTGTCGGACCGGCTTTAACCCAAAACGTCCGATCTACGGCCCCCAGGATAATTAAAGCAACCCTCCGTTTCTTCTTGGCCCTCAAGCGTCCTGCTCCTGGTGCTACAATCTGTTATTAGTACATTTTATCACAACATTTACCACATAAGAACCTTCATAAGATTTTAATTCCAACAAAAGCAGGAGAATGGGTGGAGTCGACCGTACTCGTTTTGGAATGAAAACCTGCAGTCACCCCCCCCCCCCCCCCCCATCAGCGTTAAGTCACATTCAGCAAAGAACGTTATTTTCCAGTCAGAAACTCTCAGATATTGAAGAATCACCTGAATCCAAGTCCTTCTAAGCGTGACTCTGGAAGTGTTTCTGTGGCGCTTGGAGCCCCAAAGAAACACGTTCTTTGGTCCTTGAACAAACATTTCAGAACGTGACTGAGAATCCCAGTATTTCACGACGGCAGTATTTATCCAGAGATGTCCACAAACCTTTAGCAGAATATTTCACATAACTTAGATAACTCGACTGTTTACAACATCAGATAAGCTAAAGCTAAACCAAATTTACAACACTAAAACTACTGCAGTTTGTTTATTGTTAGTGTTTTTGGAACTTGTTTAGGGCGGTTCCTTTCTTACTGTTGCCAAACTCTGCTTAAATATAAATATATCGTGGTCATGGTTTCATGTGGGAACTTAGACGTCTGCTGTCGTCAGCGTTGGCATTAGTTCTGTGGTCAGATCCTCCTCTCCTCTTCGGGGCCGCGGGGTCCGAGGCCTGGGGTCCGGGGCCGTGGGGTCCGGGGCCGCGGGGTCCGGGGCCGTGGGGTCCTTGCAGTGTGGTGTCTGTGCGTTTGCCTGAACAGGAGGTTTCCATGGAGCAGCTGCTGTCTGCCGTCGTCAGTCAATGTTATTGGCTATTTTTGTTTTCTTTTATACATGTACTGTACATAAAATAAAATATACAAGCAATAATAATGTTCTGGATTTATTTAAAGACTCTCCACAGATTGTGGTGATTCAGATACTTGGAATATATATAACATACTTTCCAAACCAAAGAAGTCCACGATCGCAGTACAAAGTAGATTGAAGCTTCATTTGCTTTAGTGAAGTCTGTGGCTGAGTGGTTAGCACTCCCGCGTCTCAGCAAGAAGGTCCTGATTCCACCTCCAGGGATAAAAGTATTAGGAAAGGGGAGTTGTTGAACAATATTTTATGTTTTTAGTGTGAGGGGAACAGGTCCTTTCATGCTCCATAAATAAAAGTACAAATGTATAATATATAACAGTACTCATGTATATAAAAGTACAAATACAGTCAGGACAGAGTGAATAACATATACATGTATATATATATATATACATATACATGTATATGTATATATATATATAAACAGTACTGATGTACTGCTTAGGGCTGCAGTATAAATACAGTCAGGACGTGTGAACGTTGTTGAAGCCTGTTTGTTAAAGTGACAGATGAAGACGATCTGTGGAAACAGATTCTGTTTCAGTGAAACGGTGAGTGTTAAACTCTCAGTGAAGTTACGGAAGATTCACCAGAAAATACTTTTCTATTCACCAGAAAATACTTTTCTATTCACCAGAAAATACTTTTCTATTCACCAGAAAATACTTTTCTATTCACCAGAAAATACTTTTCTATTCACCAGAAAATACTTTTCTATTCACCAGAAAATACTTTTCTATTCACCAGAAACGAAACCACCAAAAGAATCAAAGTCAATGAAACGAATGCTTTTGGATGAATTCAGAATCCCACCTCAACCACCGCAGACGGTTGTGTCCTTGGGCAAGACACTCGCCCTGATGTGAGAAGGAAGGTGAGGAGGTTTACAAGAGCAGCCACATGTCCTTCACTCTGCCTTAGGGCAGTCGTGGCCACATGTCCTTCACTCTGCCTCAGGGCAGTCGTGGCCACATGTCCTTCACTCTGCCTCAGGGCAGTCGTGGCCACATGTCCTTCACTCTGCCTCAGGGAAGTCGTGGCCACAGATGCAGTGAGAGCGCTGCCTCGTCTTCTAAAAGCAGCGTTTTTGACTGAAATGATCCAAACTGGTCGGACTCGTGCCTGAAATATATTAAAACCACAGGACAGTGGAAAACAGTGAAATATTAAAAGTAAAGTAATTGTTTTCAGTGACGGCTGCACGACAGCACTGACCTACAGGGAGTGGAACACAAACAGGAAGAGCAGTAAAAAGGGTTGGATTGTACGTAAATGATCTAAGATTTAAAACTAAGATTTATGCAGCTACAATCTGGAACAGTCTTCCTGAAAATACAAGACACAGGCTTCGACTCTGACTATGTTCAAATCCAAGTTGATTTTTGTGTGTTTGTTATTGTTTCTGTTGTGTTAGCGCAGACTTGTCTTGTGTGTAAACTGTGATATACAAATAACTAAAAACCATTTCAGTCTTTACAAAAGAAAAAGGATTTGCAGCAGATTTAGCGACTGCTACAGTTCATCTGCAGGAAGTCAGAATTACAAACATCAAAGTCAGAATTACAAACATCAAACAAGAGAAACATACAGCTTTACAAATCTATGGAATGTTTTTTCTAAATGGATAAAATGATCTAACAATTTAATGTTATTATTTTAATAAAACGTTAAAACTTAAAGCCCTCGGTCTGAACACAAGGGTCAGTCTTTGGACCTGAGCATTTCTAAATCTCTGGATGTTTGAACACATGAAGAAACACACACAGAAATTGTTGAATGAAACAGTTCTTCCAAAGGGTTCAGCGACTCCAGAGAAACCGTCGATCTCCGGATCACGTGAAGCTGAATCAGAGGAAACGCTGAGTGGAGCTGAAAGTGGAGCTCTGGCCTCGGTCCCATCGGTCACACAGAGACACACACACACAGAGACACACACACACACACACACACACAGAGACTCACACACACACACACAGAGACACACACACACACAGAGACACACACACACACACAGAGACACACACACAGACACACACACACACACACACACACACAGACACACACAGTCGTATAACAACAACACACACAGGTTTGTTTGTTGAGGTTTGCAGTGTTTCTGAAAAGCTCAGATCAAACATCTCAAAGTTCTGAACAAAACATTACAATCTCAGATAATCTTTAAAAAGAGAAAGAATCCACAGAAAGACACGACTGTTTTTAACCTGGCTCTGATTCTAAAGATTCCACCGTCCTCAAAATGAACCACATTCTTTCTTTGGACTCGTCCTTCTTCCGCTGGATCCGAGCCCTCGGCACAAATAGAAAGGTTAAATCTGGATCTTGCATAACTTTGTGGATTCATCGCGGACGTGACTCGGCAGACGCCCATCCCCCACTCTGCTCCTCTTACCACACTCTCTCCACAGAACCTGCCTCACTGCCCGAGAGGCTTTGGTTCTGATAAAATGGGTCGGAACACCAGGACTGACTCTGGATGGTTCTTATATAACCTCACAAATGTTTAATAAACGTAAAATTTCCCTTACAATGCTTATTACAGTTAGATTTAGACTGGGTTTTGTCGTCTGATAGAAAACGTTGGTAACGCTTTATATTAAGGTGTGCTTGTTAAGTATTAATAAGGTATTAATAGACATTAGCAACATGCTTATAGATTGCTTATATGTACTTATAAACATATTATTAAACTGCTCATTTCACTATTCTCTAAATGATGTTGGGTAACGCTTTATATTAAGGTGTGCTTATTAAGTATTAATAAGCTATTAATAGACATTAGCATCATGCTTATAGATTGCTTATATGTACTTATAAACATATTAATAAGCTGCTCATTTCACTATTCTCTAAATGATGTTGTTCTAGTTATATGCTTTTAAGCATTTAATAAGTAATTAGTAAGATACTTAGTAAAGGAGGAATATGTTTATAAATATATGAATAAGCTGCTTATTAAACTATTATCGATACCATGTTAATAGGCCACTAACAATATGCCTATAAAGATATTAATAAGCTGCTTATTAATAGGTAATAGTGGTAATAGGCCACTAAAAATATGCGTTAATAAACTGCTTATTACACTATTTTGCAGTACCCTAATCTAAAGCGAGGAGCATTTTTGTTAATGCAGAAAAAAACACAAAATTGATCTAAGATGTTTTTATTTATTCAAACAGCAACAATTACAGTCTAAATGAAAAAATATATCAAAATTAAGTTTGTGCCAAAAGTTTGTTAGTAACTTCAGGAGCCATGATGAACCCACTCATGCTCCGACCTGCTCTGTTCATGAATTTGGCTTTGGCAAAACAGTGAATCAACTGACTTCACGAGCCTGAGAGATTAGCGGAACTCGCCTATTTTTGGGCATCGTCTGGTCCTCCCGGTTCTGCGCAGTGGACGAGCTCCCATGATGCTTTGCGCCAAATACGCGTGCGTGGCTGTCATGCACGTGCACAGAGGGGCCGTGCTCTGACCAATCAGAGCTGCTGATCAGAGCGAGAGTTAGAGCGAGAGTAAGAGCCAGACGAGTAGAGTTTGTGGCAGTAAAATGTGGATTTAAAGAAAACTGAAGGATTTAAGAAGAAAAAAAGTTCAGGATGACAAGGGACACTAAAATCCCCACAAAATCCGACCTTTATGAAAGTTGTAGGTTCTGTGTCAGCTGAGGTCGAGCTGTTTTAGTTTACATTGAGTTCTATGGGACAATTTCTTGGTAGCCCACGTGACTTTAGTCTGCAGTACCACGAGAATCCCCCGAGCTACAAGCTAGTAATACCCTATCCAGTTATTATAATAGATCCATGTATACAACGCACCTGTGGCACAACCATGGAACTATAATAATAACTGGATAGTGTATTCCTAGCTTATAGCTGTCCCACCCATGGGCACAGGGGGCTCTGTGGTACTGCAGACTAAATTCACGAGGGCTACCCAGAAAAAGTCCCATAGAACTCAATGTAAACTAAAACAGCTCGACCTCAGCTGACAGAGAACCTGATAGAGAACCCACAGCTTTCATAAAGTTCGTATTTTCTGGGGATTTTAGTGTCCCTTGTCATCCTGAACTTTTTTTCTTCTTAAATCCTTCAGTGGTTCTCACCCCCGCTCCTCGGAGTTTACGTCACTCACGTTTCCTGTTCAAATCTTCCTCTAAATGGGCGTAGCCTGGAGGACTAAAGGGGGCGTGAACGAGACTGGGCCGTTTATATAGCTCTGGGCGGGGGGCTGCTGACGTCAGGTCTCAGGCGCCAGATTCAAAATTCAAATGTAGTAATACAGGTCGCCAGCAGATGGCGCCTCACAGATGGTTTTAGGCAGAAAGTCTAACTTTCAACTAATTTGCACCAAAGTGACAAAATTATGACCAGGATATGTAGACAACACTATTGGACACTCATTTATACCGTTTATCAGCAAAAAAAAGTGGATTTGAGGGTGAGTTGTCCTTTAAATCCACATTTTACTGCCACAAACTCTACTCGTCTGGCTCTTACTCTCGCTCTAACTCTCGCTCTGATCAGCAGCTCTGATTGGTCAGAGCTGCCCCTATGTGCACGTGCATGACAGCCACGCACGCGTATTTGCCGCAAAGCATCATGGGAGCTCGTCCACTGCGCAGAACCGGGAGGACCAGACGATGCCCAAAAATAGGCGAGTTCCGCTAATCTCTCAGGCTCGTGAAGTCAGTTGATTCACTGTTTTGCCAAAGCCAAATTCATGAACAGAGCAGGTCGGAGCATGAGTGGGTTCATCATGGCTCCTGAAGTTACTAACAAACTTTTGGCACAAACTTCATTTTGATATATTTTTTCATTTAGACTGTAATTGTTGCTGTTTGAATAAATAAAAACATCTTAGATCAATGTAGTGTTTTTTTCTGCATTAACAAAAATGCTCCTCGCTTTAGATTAGGGTACTGCGAAATAGTGTAATAAGCAGTTTATTAACGCATATTGTTAGTGGCCTATTACCACTATTGCCTATTAATAAGCAGCGTATTAATATCGTTATAGGCTTATTGTTAGTGGCCTATTAACAAGGTATCGATAATAGTTTAATAAGCAGCTTATTCATATATTTATAAACATATTCCTCCTTTAATAAGTATCTTACTAATTACTTATTAAATGCTTAAAAGCATATAACTAGAACAACATCAGGTAATTCCGACTGTGTCCTGCGCCGCACGGCCTCGTGTAGTAATAAGTATTCTTTGTCAATGTAGCACCTTTCTCAGACCAGAGAGATGGGAGCGGGGTCACCTACAGGGGGCGCTGTCAGACATAATGTGCATGTTTATAGGGGTAGGAGAAACCGGAGCACCCTGAGGAAACCTACGAAGACACAGGGAGAACATGCAAATTCCACTCAGAAAGACTCTGTTCCGACCGGGATTCGAACCCAGGACCTTCTTGCTGAGAAGCCAGAGTGCTATTTGCTCAGCCACCGGTCCTCGTTGTACAGCCTGAGTGTATCTATCTGAATATGGATTCACATTTAACCACAGCTACAATAACACCACACAAGGAAGTTGGATAAACAGTTAAAAACAAATATATATAAATAAGTAAACAAGTGGTTTCCAGAGGTTTTAAAACAGGTGTGTGTCTGTGGCTGAAGTTGTTGTGTGTCCCTTTGTGCGACGCAGAGGACCGCTTTGGGCCCGTGTGCCTGAGTTTGGACCAGTCCTGATCTCTGTGACTTACATCAGAACATTTGGACTTTTGGGTGGAGTCTGTTTTTAACTAAATTAAATTAAATTAAATTAACTAACTGCAAAATGTCATTAGCTCAGATTGTGTTTTGTCTGCGTTGGTTTGAGCTGACGGAGCATTTCCTCTGAGCTCCAGCGCCGGAGTCAGACGTTTGTGACCGACACAGGAAGTTTCTCAAATAGAAGCATTAAAATGAGACACGTTTGACAAATTTAGGGGAAAAACCACCGCTTCTGGGAACATACTGTACCCACCCACCTACTGAACCAGACTGACCCGCGCCAGGACCATGTGCACCCAGACTGACCCACACCAGGACCATGTGCACCCAGAACCATGTGCACCCAGACTGACCCGCGCCAGGACCATGTGCACCCAGACTGACCCACACCAGGACCATGTGCACCCAGAACCATGTGCACCCAGACTGACCCACGCCCAGGACCATGTGCACCCAGACTGACCCACACCAAGACCATGTGCACCCAGACTGACCCGCGCCAGGACCATGTGTACCCAGACTGACCCACGCCCAGGACCATGTGCACCCAGACTGACCCACGCCAGGACCATGTGGACCCAGACTGACCCGCGCCAGGACCATGTGGACCCAGACTGACCCGCGCCAGGACCATGTGCACCCAGACTGACCCACACCAGGACCATGTGCACCCAGACTGACCCACGCCAGGACCATGTGGACCCAGACTGACCCGCGCCAGGACCATGTGCACCCAGACTGACCCACACCAGGACCATGTGCACCCAGACTGACCCGCGCCCAGGACCATGTGCACCCAGACTGACCCACACCAGGACCATGTGCACAACATGAGACGATACAGAGAAGACGGAACGTACCACCCTCAGACCGGGGCCTTTCTGTGTGTTTGCATGTTCTCCCCGTGTCTGCTTTGGTCTCTCCTGCCGCTAAAAACAAACAGATGGTGTGGACTTTTTGTGGATTAGTTTTGACCAGATTTTACTTTGATGCATTGCTTCTCTTGGGGTTTTGTGTGTGTGTGTGTTTTTTACTTTGTGTGTGTTTGGTTGATTCCCTGCCCCACCCTGATTTGTTAGCTAAGCCCCCCCCCCCCCCCCCCCCCACGAATGAAGGCATGTGATTGGTCAAGCCTCTTGTGGCTCATATCTGGATTTACAAAACAATAGATTCCGATTCAGGCCGTTTTTAATTTGCAGTGAAACCCTCGACAATAAAACAATGACTGCGACCAAAACACCAACATCATAACATGAACTCCAGGATCACGGAGAGAACTGAACTACGGATTATATGAAGCAGACAGGAGCCAGAGGCAATAAACAGTCCGACCTTTCCTTTCGTGTGATTCACTTTGAGCTCGTGTATGAACCGTGCAATACTTGTCCTGGAGATCGACCCCTCCAACAGATTCAGGTTCATTTATTTACCATTTGATTGATTTGATTTTCAGCACAAATGGAAACCACATTGGAAAACATTTGCAAAAGTCCAAAGTGTGAACAAGAAAAGTACACAAACAGAACAACAGACGCACAACACACAATTCCATCCCATATCTGTTTCTCGCAACTCACAAAGACTCTCTAACCCCTAACCCCTAAACCTAAACCCTAAACCCTAGACCCTAAACCTAACCCTAAACCCTAAACCTAAACCCTAAACCCTAAACCTAAACCCTAAACCTAAACCCTAATTAATATTGATGTGTTCAGGTGGATGTGTCTGGCTGTGTGGTTTGACTGTCGCCCCCTGCAGGACACTCTGTCTGCTGTAGAGAGCAGCTTCAGTGACAGACGTATTCACCCTCGCTGTGTGAAGGAGAGGTTCTGCAGGTCTTTCCTTCCTGCTGCTGTCAGACTGTACAATGAGAACTGCTGAATCTGTAAATAATATGGCACTTTAACCACTTAACCAGCCTTTTATGTAAATGACTTTGCACTATAGAGATATTTAGAAAGATTGATATTGAAGCATTTACAGCTAGCTACAAAAACATAGCAGCTACGTATATTGTCTAATCTGTGTCTCTTTCCTCTGTCCTGTGAGTGCGCGGCAACACTGAAATTTCCCTACTGTGGGATGAATAAAGAATCATCTCTGAACCATGCTGCACTTCCCTCACAAACTACCCACCTTTAATCAGAAACAGCTACGTGTACCTGTGATCAAAGGGAAATGTTTTAGCGCAGGTACAGTCGGACTAAAGCCAGGACCGTCTCGACGCCAGAACATTCACTCAACCGTTTTATTTTCCCCGTGGTCGTCCATTTTGCAGGAACTTGTGAGCGGGAGCAGCATGTGTGCGATGATGCTCTATGATCTCTCGCCGCGTGCTGTCGGGCAGAACGGCGCGTCGCCATGGCAACACCCAAGGCCTTCATCTGCGGCGAGCTCTCGGCACAACTGTGGATTAGAGTCGCTGCATAACAGGTCTCAGGAGACTGGGGTTACTTCCTGCTCCTTTAACAACGCAAAAGGAAACAGAGTAATAGTGTTGGAAGCGTCCTTCGGTCTCTCTTCGGTCTCTCTTCGGTCTCTCTTCGGTCTCTTTTCTTTCTCTCTTCGGTCTCTCTTCCGTCTCTCTTCTGTCTCTCTTCGGTCTCTCTTCTGTCTCTCCTCGGTCTCTCTTCTGTCTCTCCTCGGTCTCTCTTCTGTCTCTCTTCGGTCTCTCTTCTGTCTCTCCTCGGTCTCTCTTCTGTCTCTCCTCGGTCTCTCTTCTGTCTCTCTTCGGTCTCTCTTCTGTCTCTCCTCGGTCTCTCTTCTGTCTCTCTTCGGTCTCTCCTCGGTCTCTCTTCTGTCTCTCTTCGGTCTCTCTTCTGTCTCTCCTCGGTCTCTCTTCTGTCTCTCTTCGGTCTCTCTTCTGTCTCTCTTCGGTCTCTCCTCGGTCTCTCTTCTGTCTCTCTTCGGTCTCTCCTCGGTCTCTCTTCGGTCTCTCTTCGGTCTCTCTTCTGTCTCTCTTCTGTTTCTCTTCGGTCTCTCTTCGGTCTCTCTTCGGTCTCTCTTCGGTCTCTCTTCGGTCTCTCTTCGGTCTCTCTACGGTCTCTCTTCTGTCTCTCTTCGGTCTCTCTTCTGTCTCTCTTCGGTCTCTCCTCGGTCTCTCTTCTGTCTCTCTTCGGTCTCTCCTCGGTCTCTCTTCGGTCTCTCTTCGGTCTCTCTTCTGTCTCTCTTCTGTTTCTCTTCGGTCTCTCTTCGGTCTCTCTTCGGTCTCTCTTCGGTCTCTCTTCGGTCTCTCTTCGGTCTCTCTTCTGTCTCTCCTCGGTCTCTCTTCTGTCTCTCTCGTCTCTTCGGTCTCTCTTCGGTCTCTCTTCGGTCTCTCTTCGGTCTCTCTTCGGTCTCTCTTCGGTCTCTCTTCGGTCTCTCTTCGTCTCTCTGTCTCTCTTCGGTCTCTCTTCGGTCTCTCTTCGGTCTCTCTTCGGTCTCTCCTCGGTCTCTCTTCGGTCTCTCTTCGGTCTCTCTTCTGTCTCTCTTCTGTCTCTCTTCGGTCTCTCTCTGGTCTCTCTTCGGTCTCTCTTCGGTCTCTCTTCGGTCTCTCTTCTGTCTCTCTTCGGTCTCTCTTCTGTCTCTCTTCGGTCTCTCTTCTGTCTCTCTTCGGTCTCTCTTCTGTCTCTCTTCGGTCTCTCTTCTGTCTCTCTTCGGTCTCTCTTCGGTCTCTCTTCGGTCTCTCTTCGGTCTCTCTTCTGTCTCTCTTCGGTCTCTCTTCTGTCTCTCTTCGGTCTCTCTTCGGTCTCTCTTCGGTCTCTCTTCGGTCTCTCTTCGGTCTCTCTTCGGTCTCTCTTCTGTCTCTCTTCGGTCTCTCTTCGGTCTCTCTTCGGTCTCTCTTCGGTCTCTCTTCGGTCTCTCTTCGTCTCTCTTCTGTCTCTCTTCGGTCTCTCTTCGGTCTCTCTTCGGTCTCTCTTCGGTCTCTCTTCGGTCTCTCTTCTGTCTCTCTCGGTCTCTCTTCTGTCTCTCTTCGGTCTCTCTTCGGTCTCTCTTCGGTCTCTCTTCGGTCTCTCTTCGGTCTCTCTTCGGTCTCTCTTCGGTCTCTCTACGGTCTCTCTTCTGTCTCTCTTCGGTCTCTCCTCGGTCTCTCTACTGTCTCTCTTCGGTCTCTCCTCGGTCTCTCTTCGGTCTCTCTTCGGTCTCTCTTCTGTCTCTCTTCTGTCTCTCTTCGGTCTCTCTTCGGTCTCTCTTCTGTCTCTCTTCGGTCTCTCTTCGGTCTCTCTTCTGTCTCTCTCGGTCTCTCTTCTGTCTCTCTTCTGTTCTCTTCGGTCTCTCTTCGGTCTCTCTTCGGTCTCTCTTCTGTCTCTCTTCGGTCTCTCTTCTGTCTCTCTTCTGTTCTCTTCTGTCTCTCTTCGGTCTCTCTTCGGTCTCTCTTCGGTCTCTCTTCTGTCTCTCTTCGGTCTCTCTTCTGTCTCTCTTCTGTTTCTCTTCGGTCTCTCTTCGGTCTCTCTTCGGTCTCTCTTCGGTCTCTCTTCGGTCTCTCTTCTGTCTCTCTTCGGTCTCTCTTCTGTCTCTCTTCGGTCTCTCTTCGGTCTCTCTTCGGTCTCTCTTCGGTCTCTCTTCGGTCTCTCTTCGGTCTCTCTTCGGTCTCTCTTCGGTCTCTCTTCTGTCTCTCTTCGGTCTCTCTTCGGTCTCTCTTCGGTCTCTCTTCGGTCTCTCTTCGGTCTCTCTTCGGTCTCTCTTCGGTCTCCTCTCTTTCTGTCTCTCTGTCTCTCTGTCTCTCTTCGGTCTCTCTTCGGTCTCTCTTCGGTCTCTCTTCGGTCTCTCTTCTGTCTCTCTTCGGTCTCTCTTCTGTCTCTCTTCGGTCTCTCTTCTGTCTCTCTTCGGTCTCTCTTCGGTCTCTCTTCTGGTCTCTCTTCGGTCTCTCTTCGGTCTCTCTTCGTCTCTCTTCGGTCTCTCTTCGGTCTCTCTTCGGTCTCTCTTCGGTCTCTCTTCGGTCTCTCTTCTGTCTCTCTCTCTTCTTCGGTCTCTCTTCGGTCTCTCTTCGGTCTCTCTTCGGTCTCTCTTCGGTCTCTCTTCGGTCTCTCTTCGGTCTCTCTTCTGTCTCTCTTCGGTCTCTCTTCGGTCTCTCTTCGGTCTCTCTTCGGTCTCTCTTCGGTCTCTCTTCGGTCTCTCTTCTGTCTCTCTTCGGTCTCTCTTCGGTCTCTCTTCGGTCTCTCTTCGGTCTCTCTTCGGTCTCTCTTCGGTCTCTCTTCTGTCTCTCTTCGGTCTCTCTTCGGTCTCTCTTCGGTCTCTCTTCGGTCTCTCTTCTGTCTCTCTTCGGTCTCTCTTCGGTCTCTCTTCTGTCTCTCTCTTCGGTCTCTCTTCGGTCTCTCTTCGGTCTCTCTTCGTCTCTCTTCGGTCTCTCTTCGGTCTCTCTTCTGTCTCTCTTCTGTCTCTCTTCGGTCTCTCTTCTGTCTCTCTTCGGTCTCTCTTCTGTCTCTCTTCGGTCTCTCTTCTGTCTCTCTTCGGTCTCTCTTCGGTCTCTCTTCGGTCTCTCTTCTCGGTCTCTCTTCTGTCTCTCTTCGGTCTCTCTTCGGTCTCTCTTCTGTCTCTCTTCTGTCTCTCTTCGGTCTCTCTTCGTCTCTCTTCGGTCTCTCTTCTTCTCTCTTCTCTCTCGGTCTCTCTTCGGTCTCTCTTCGTCTCTCTTCGGTCTCTCTTCGGTCTCTCTTCGGTCTCTCTTCTGTCTCTCTTCTGTCTCTCTTCTGTCTCTCTCGGTCTCTCTTCGGTCTCTCTTCTGTCTCTCTTCGGTCTCTCTTCTGTCTCTCTTCTGTCTCTCTTCTGTCTCTCTTCGGTCTCTCTTCGGTCTCTCTTCTGTCTCTCTTCGGT